ACCATAGTAATGCATATTCATTGAACATCAATGAGTAGGAATGAAAAATAAAGCGAATTGAAACCTGCCACATTTATGGATCGGTTCAAATTGTCATGCTAGAAGTAACCTATTTACCGATTACGGATATATATATATATATATATATATATATATATATGTACGCGGCTTCAAACTCCACTCTAAGTGTGACGGCTAGTAAAACTACCCAGTTGACCAAACCGAAGTAGATGGAGTGTGATTTAGATCTGAAACGAAACTATGTGAAAGTTAAATGCTCTAACCAGTAACCTACAGATCCCATTCAAAAGAATGTTGTACTTATATAACTTTACCTCTAATTGTTCCATAAGATGTTCTGATAGTGTTTGGTTTAGGTGACCGATTTCGGAGATTTTTTTAGCTACTTGATGCAGTTCATCTTTCTCTTGCGTAAAATGTTGATAGAGTATTTGATTTTCAACTTCAAGTGTACGTAATTCATTTTCTGTGAAATTTTCTTCTTGTCGAGATTCATGATAGTTTAAAACATCATTATTTTTGTTAATATCCTTATTATCACCACGTCTTCTTAACTTTGTATCATTGTTATCATATTTGTTGGAACGCTTTAAATAGGCAGTAACATTTGCACCACAATCGGCAACAGAACGTACACCAGTAGCAAGATTTCCTGAAAACTCGATAAGACGTTGTTGTCTCCTGATCTACGTAGGGAAATAACGAAATGTTAAAGAAATTCAGGTGTAACAGAATAATGGAAGCTTGAGTGATTAGATTTTGAACCCCAAAGTTTGTGTATGAACTAGCGATAAATAACTAGATAGGGTCAAACCGAAGTGAACGAAACAGTACATCAACTTGTAACTGATTGGCTACAATGCGAGCCTTTAACCATTTAATTGTTTATACTTCATAAAATGCACTTTCTTACACAACTTACTAGATATGATAGTTAGCGACATTATTTGGCTATGAAAAATGGCGTTATTTGCAAAAAATATTAATTTATTTAAACACGTACGCGAAAAGTCGTTACTAATTTGTATGTGGAAAGACATGACACAAATAAAAATTAGTACATCAAATGTTTATAACTGCCAAAAGAGTATGAATAACATAATTTTACTTATAGAAGAAAACAAGATGTCTCAACTACTAAACCGTACAGCATAAAATGGATAAGGTCAACTATCGCTTACTATCTTAGAAAGTAAAAATACGTACATATCTTAAAAGAATTTGAAATTAAACAGCCTAGCAACTTATAATACATTGTTTGCAATTTCACCTACAAGAGATTATTCTCCGCTGGAATCGTTTAGTGGTAACATTTCCGACCATGAAGCTTGATGATCCAAATTTGAATCTCATAAAAAACATGGGTTTTCACAATACTGCAGGTTCGCATTGATGACATGTAATAAATAGGATGAAACTTAAGTGCAGGGTTTCTGGCGGATTTCTTTTAAACTGCATAATACCAATCTATATTTTACTGCTATAGGAAGGTATATAAGGAGGATAGATAAACGTTAGCAAATATCCCAAAGAAATTTCGTTTTCACGACTTATAAATTTCTATCTCCACGAGTCTACTTTTATCTTACTTACTGAGGTACTCCATAAGTTCAAACAATTATATCATAATCAACCAGGACGTATAATCTGATTGATTTATCATTAACAATGGACGCTTTTAATCCTTTTCATTTCAAACTGTCAGAGTTGAAACAATACATATTTTTCTTTACGAGTCAGAAAGTAGTAAAAATCTTGTGGTGTCTAGTGTTATTCATCGAGATAACACACCTTATCTATTTGATGAATGTTTTAAAAAGAGACAAATATGTGACAGTTTGGTGTAGCATTACAATAATTTGAATTATTTTATATTTGCTCATGATTAAATATAAACTTTTACCCATTTACAACGTGTACATGTCACTATTGATATGTACAGATTGTACATTTTCCAGATTTATGTGTGCATGTCAGAACTCCATGGAACAAATAATGGCAACTGTTAGATTTCACAATATCTCTTCGATAAAGAGCATAATGTAAGACAATGATATCAAAATAATGAATACGACATTCTTAGAAACAATTTCTTTGGGAGACGAGATCTAGTCGACTCCATGTCTCTAAAATAAATAAGTGTCTAATCCTAAACATTTGCTTTAAAATTACAATATTTAATTAGTTTTTTGAAAGTTAATTATGGCTAAAGGTGAATGAGTCCCAATACCATCAAATATTTATCAGACAACATTCTCATCATTTTATATGACAAAAGTCACCATATCAAACATACAAGATACATCAATACAAACATCTATTACATTTTCTAACACTTCAAATTATTTAGAACTGTTCAGAACGACTGTTAGGTGTGTGGAAGCAGCCGAAAAATGATGTGGGATTTATGCTGACTGGAAGTTACCACCAAGGCGTACGTAGGATGTTGAAGGGTTGAATGTTTATCGTGAGATTCCAATCTGACACGACGTCCAAGAATACGGCCTGATATCAAAGTACTAAAGGATTGAAGAGTGAGTAGCCTACAAACTAATTTCCTGAGATTCCCTACACGGTTTTATCATATTTATTTCGTCCCCATTTTTTAATGAAGGTATGGCATTTTAAAGAGTTAAAGACTGGTTCTTTTAGGGTTATATATATTCATTAAAATACTCTACTTTCCATATTTTATCGCGCGGTGGATTATCGTTAAAGTGCATAGATACTTCAGTCCATCCAGTTCGCATAGGTCTAGTCTCGTATTAGAAGAACTCGATTGTTCCTAATTGAGAAATACCGAACCCAAACATAATTCACAATAGAACTTGGGACACAAAATCACCACACTTTTAGCACATTTAGCCAATTGATCACCATCTATACTTGATTGACAGGATTAAATTGGTGCTAAGGATCAAACCACGGGATAAAGGATGCAATTCAGCAATCGGCTGGTAAAACAATATTTATTCAGAAATTCTGTATATTATCTTCTGTGTAGTATGAAATTATACGCCTAAGTATACAGTTTTGACTAACGAAGAAGAAAACAGTTAAACTTGCAGAATGACAAATTACTTAAATCGAGGCACTTTGAAACACAATAACTGCAAATTGTAGCCCAGTAGAATGAAAACGTCAATGATAGATAAGATAGAATTCGGTATAAATACGGAACAGTTTAAAGATACATAAAGACAGCCAGTTAAGAGCAAAGCCACCACCAATATAGCGAGCTAATTTAAGGCTTGTAGAATGACTAAGAAGCTGACCTTTTAAATTATGTAAGCCATGATAATGTTGCCCAAAAAGACAATAAAAGCAATCAAATCATTTATACCAGAGAACTTATCAACGCCTAAAACATTCACCTGAGCTACAAATACTCTCTATCAAACGGTTCAACTTGTTATAATTCATATCAGTAAAACAAAGAAGGAATTTGAATAAATGAAAAGATAGTGAAAAATTGAACCTACATATACTCAACAAATAGTCAAATCGATATATTGGTAAAAAAAAACTCACTTCACTTTCACGAATCTTTTTCAAAGAATCCAATTCTTCACTTAGTAGTTTATGAATTGTTAAACGATGTGATATAAGTTGATTATTATTATTATTCGAATCATCATGAATTGAAGTTTTGCTTTGATTAATATCTTTTGTAGTATGAATTAGATCTTTTAATTGTGCTAACAATAAAGTACATTGTTCAATCAAAACAGTGACATTTTCAGTTAATTCAGCGTGTAAACGTTGTTTAGTTGAATTACCTAATGTACCAGCTGTTAGTTGGTGAATACGTTTTAAATAATTTGATAAAACTTTAAGACTTGAATGAAGACTTTCAGCACGTGTCTGAAAAGAAAATTCAAAACCAGTAGGTGAATTTTTCTTTTTCTTCTTCTCCTCCTTAAAAGTGGGTGATAATTCTGGAATTGTTGGTCTTATGGATGAAACGAGTGATGTAAATAATGGAGAAATATCACGGGACATTATGATGGTGAGGATTGATCATAAGTTGATATCTAAGCAAATCAAAATGGAATATATAAAGATTTATTGTTAAATAAGACTAAACTGATGCTATAATCAAACAGGTATTATCCAATCTAGGAACGGTCAAATAAAGATGTGGCATCAATATACAGTTTATTGATTGTTGGTAGATACAGACTACATGGTTGAGGTCTACTGGCTTGTTGCGACTAACAGCTTATGTTGAGTGAAATGACTACGAATCAGTTAAAATGCATGTTCTTTGTATTTCTCTAGAACCCACAGTGAGATAAATTGTTGCGGTAGATCCCAGAGTACTAGTGGCATCTTTTCATTGCTTTTTTAAAACAGTGTTCCCATTGTTTAATCTTCATCCTTATCAGTACTATTACTTTGATAATCATCCGGTTAATTTCATCGCACCTTGCTTATATAGGTACATCAAAATTAGGTTATGTTGGCCTTCACTTTAATTATGACGAACTGAAGAATTATTTAGTTATTTAACGAAATTAATATAGACGGAACAGATGATAATGTAGTTCATAATTTAATTACGGTGGTCTAAATGTTCAGACAATCTTTAATGAATGTGCCTAAAAATCTAGTATTAACAAACTCAGAAATAACTTCATGTCTCTTTAATTCCATTCGTGAAGTATGTTTACAATTAGTTTCCGATTATTAACTATTAGTCGATCAAACTCGATCTAACTCAGAGAAAAAAAAAACTCCACCTCAATCAAAAAGCTACTCACAGTGTAGAATGATACACCATACTTTGTCTGACAAAATTGTAAAGTTTGTTGGCAATACAATAAAAAAATACTTTAACACATCAGGGAATTAATTATAAATCAAAATTTCACAAGGGGACAAATATAAGCACGAATTTTATTTATGTTACAATAAAATAGTTAACATTGAATTGAAAAAAAGGAGTAAATCTAGAATACAGGTTTACAAATCTCTTTTTACAATAAGTGGTTATACTTTTCCAATGACGTGACTAGTTCCAGCAACAACACCGGTATCATCAGCACCAACATATTGACATCGTTACTATTATTAGTAGCTTGTAGATGACTCTCACTGGCAGCATAATCAACAACCATAGTTTCGTCTGGTTCTGGTCGTTCCATTAAATAAACACGACATGTAGAATAATTTTCGAAAAGCTATGGGGAGAATTAAACAAAACAGGGACTTATTAAAGAAAAGGAACTACTAGTGGAGGAAAAGTGTTATTGATTAAAAAAATTGATATAATCACAACTGTTACAGAATCTAGCAGATATAGATGTTTGTTTGTTCTAGTTGATATGCCATCATATCACGATTAGAAAAAGTTGAAGAGATGAAAAACAAAGGAATTGGATTAAGCTGTGTAAATAAGTACAAACTAATTAGTTGGGGTCTACTCGATTATTGTAAACAAATGTTATATATGTTGAATGACATGGCTCAAAATCAGTCAGAATAGTGCATAAACATTTACTTTTTGTCATAAAATACTTATACTTCCTGTTTTCTAAACTCATTCTATTTTTGAGTCATACTATCCATTGACTAATTTTCTATATCACTAATAATACTTGTAATTGAGAACATGAACCGATCAATTTGGACCAACATTGAAGACCTGGAAGCACTGGACTGCTGTTTCGTCATAGTGTAGGACTCCTTAGCAGTACGCATCCACGACAGTTAGTAATTCTACGACTCTGGCATTCGTTTTGATAATTTCCACTTAACTGTGCCGATGTGGTATGGGAATTATAACAGACGAAAATTTGTGCCAGGCACTACGTAACTTATGACTGAGAAAAGGAGTACGAATATTAGTAGTATCAATGATGGTAAGAATTATTAGATGTAGGGAGTATGATTCAAAAAGAAGGAGGGATGTGATTGGTCAAATTAAATGTTTTTCATCCAACAAACTGATTGGTTGTAATATATATACAGTTGAAAGTCCTATGATTACTTCGATTCATGAAAACCGTCACCATAAGTCTGTTTAAAGAGTTGATTGTAACTTGGGTCAAAACTTACTAGTTGGATTGTTTTACAACACACTTGTAAATTATATGACAGTATCATGTATGTCTTAGTTGTATGGATTAATGAATAAACAGCTAAAGTTTCTGTAATCTGATATTTCATTGCCCATAAGTAATCTTTAATGAATTTTTAGCTGTTCATCCATATGAGAGCCAATAAATCTTCATTTATACCAATTTTTCACTTCGCGTTATAGGAATTGCAGTGATACCCGCTCTCAAGTATATAAGCAGTAGGACCGCGGATTTATCACAACCGACACCCACATAACAGAAGTCACTCCAAACACAACAAAAAGATCTTGATATTGTTTGACCATGAAACGTTTTCTGACTAATACCGGAGATCAGGTATCGAATAAACTTAGTACATGTGATGTCAAGTCATTTAGATTAATAACTACACTAAAACATGATCGATATAATCAGATCAGCAATTACAGGATTACACTGAAAGATGAGTCAGTTGTGGATACCTCATCTCAGTGGGAGGTGTATTTCAGCCCGTATAGTTCAATGATGACATCGACTGTGAGATTGGGAGGCGGGTTCTAATCTCACAGGAGGTACAAGCTCATTGGAAATTGAGGATACGTCTTGTTGACAAGTGACAGCTAGTATGGAACCCAGGTCGAGCAGGGCGTCCTGCCAACTACCTGATATCAAAAGAATAATGCATGCGACGTCGATTCACCTAAACTAATGACTAAACTTCAATCCGGTCGACAGAATTTCATCAGAACTAAAGAAATAGACAAATATAAAATGCATCACTACTTATCGATCAGTCAGTTTCGATGAGTATATTGATGGCATGAAGATTCACAGTTCGAATATTTTCAATAACCATGAAATCAGTTACAATCTACTGGATAATTGAAAAAAAAATACGAATCTTACAACAAAAACAATTGAACGATCACCATTAGTTGTTAATTTAATAGCGTGCCACGGTAATGCTTCAATATTTCCGCGTGTAATGAATTCAGATAGATTTTTTCTTGGTCTGAAAATGAACATTTAAGAATATTGAGCAAAACAAAACAATGTAGCTAGTATAGTAGTTATGAATATCAGTTTAACATAACTACACTAAGGTGGGAAAGTTAGACAAAATTGAAATATTTGCAACTAATTTACTGTTTCACAGTTCTCGTGGTGTGTACGATACTTGGAATCTATTGATCTGGAATTCGACAGTCTGTATTTAAATCTAGGTCTCGTGATCGAGTGTTTTTCCCCAAATCGAGCAGAAAAGCTAACAAATTCCTGGATCGATTGAAAAATTGGTAGCAATAAATGTTGGAAATGGATAGGACATACGTTGAGGAAATCATAAAACTACGTCATGAGATAAGCGCTAACTTTGAATCTTGAAGGAGAACGGAAAAGTAGAAGACCAAGGAACATATTGCGTCGGGAATCAGAAGCAGGCATCAAAAGAATGGAGAGCAAATGGAAAGGATTGTCCAGGACAGAGCTCGTTGTAGAATCCTAGTGGGTGGCCTATGCTCTTTCACGAGGGGTAACAGACACAAATAAGTATTTTTCTTTAAATCCTTGCTTGTTGACTAATAAATTCTTTCTGTTAACAGAATATTAAAAGGGGCTATTCCACCTTCACATCCCCATTCGCCTGTAAATTTAATCACCGAGTGTACCTCATTAATTTGCCGAAGAACCTCTAAATGTAGTGTATTATATTTACAAGTGATGAATATGTCATCCATATGTTGATGGTAAAATGTGAACTTTTGAATAAGCTGTTTATGTGAATCATTCTCTAGTTCATTAAAAAAATTAGTTGAAATAAGAACTAAAAGTAAATCCACAGTGATTCCATCCACTATCTATAGATTTCGCTGTTCAATATGAAATTCACATTTATTGTAGATTTTAGTACTAAATCTTGTATTCACCGTTGCTAGGTCCCACATAAGATAACGTTTTAGCAAATAAACTAGGAAATGATCCATATAAGTAGTTTACTTAAAAGTTCACATTTTACTGTCGATATGTGGATGTCATATTCATCATTTGTAAAGATAATACATCGCACAGTTTAATTCACGGATCGATCTAAGTTAGACCACTATTGAAAACCTGGAAGCTGAGGAGTGTCATACAAGAACGAAACATGCGCCTAGTGCTTCCAGGTTTTAAATGGCGGTCTAGCTTAGATCAACTCGTGAAAATACTACAATCTCCATAGATCCCCATACTGATAATACATTACAACTAGAGATTCTTCAGCAATTTAGTGGAGTACACTCGGCCATTAAGTTCACAAGTGATGCACAACGTGAAAGTAGAATAGCCTTTTAGGAAGAACTTATGGATCAACAAGCAGAAATTTAATCAAAATACTTGGACAGGGCATTACACAGATTTTCTTACCTTTTTATTTTTATAGTACAAGAAAAACTTGATCAAAACACTTAGTAATCTAATAAGAGCTATATGATCGACTGATACAGTTGAACAGGAACTAAATACCTTGAATTATGCTCTTGTATAAAATGGATATCGTGGGAGTCTATAGAGAAATATATGATCAAAACATTTTGTGTAGTAGAAATATGAACCACTCCATACACTATGTAATCTTCCATTAAACATCTGATCTGACTTGTAATGAAATCAATTACCTGTATGTAGGTTTCAAAGAATGATAATTAACTTACAAATTAGTGTGAATTGATTCATTGACAACTGAAGCAATTGTATTCGTTTGTTTTAATGATTCTCCATTATTATTTCAACACTATTCAATACATCACGAATCGGTACCATAACAAGCCAACTATGCATTAAATCACTGCTCGTTGATGTTAACGATGATAATTCACGATTCAACAAAGTTTCATCAATTTTTATACTATTCACATTTATTTTAGGTGATGATCGAATCGATGAAACTTTATTGTGCTTTGAACGACGAGATACAATTAGTAGAAGTATTTGAGATGAATAAAACTGCATATCTTGTAGTTCGTATGGCCTAGTAGTGTGTATATAAAGAATAATACACCACAACAGTCAATATTATGTATATTCTGATGAGAATACATTTTGTAATCTTACAAAATTAACAAAATATACAACTCGATGTTCAACATTTTAAATTAATTTAAGTTGAAATAAATCAAACCAATTCATAAGATACATATTAAAATCAGTGGATGAAGACCTAATTATTTACGCCTGTTACACCTTGTCGGGGAGCATAGGCCGCCCAACAGCATTTACCATCAACGACTCAGAAAGAATAAATTTACTGATGACCATGAATATGAAAGAACATAAGTTTTAATTTACGAGATATACTAGGTGTATACCTAGCCAAGATTTAAAACATATTTACTTTGAAATTTCTATTCAATCAAAGAATATAGCCATGACTAGTGCATACTCTGATAGGCCATCAAAACTGGAATACATTGATAAGTCCATTTTCAACCAGTCAGTGCTAGTAGACGAATCAAGATGCTACAAGATTTTTATGTAAATTTAACATAAACGTTATTGCCTTTATAACTGTCTTTGTTGTTCAGTTTATCATAATGTATGTATTATTTGATTTTCGTTTTAATTGTGGAAAATTTGAATAAATTATTGTTATTAGACAGTAGAGGGATATAATGGTTTTTCATGCTTGAATTGTTAAGTGTATTTTAATAAAACACTTGAGTTAAGTTGTTAAACAAAAACTGTCATCAAATAAACTTTATTTATTTATTCGAACACATAATCATTGGTACATAGAGACACCAAATATATATGCATCACACTTAGTCATACGATTTATGTGACGACTGGGCATCCAGATCGAAGCACGTGGTTTTCCTAGAGACCACTTTCTGAGTCTTTGACCTAGAGGTCTAATATACAAGGCAGGAGATGTATTCCACTTGGTAGCCTATGACCAACAATGGGTTCATATACCAACTGTTTCACCAGATTCTTGCAGACCATGTACGCCACTGGTTTGGAATTAGGGTTTAACCGATTCCCCCATATCCACCAACCCGGTTACAGCGCCAGACATTCGCTTCTCGTTTTATCAATTTCGTAAACAACAACCCCCGCCACGAGAAGGCAGTGACTATACACGCGTGGCCATGTGAAAGCATTTCGAAAGAAGGGACTCTCCTCACCATCGGTCGTACCAGGTCATTTGTAGGCAATATCAAATAAACTACGTAAAGGACGATAAATATCTGTTTGTCTAATTAGTCTTGTTGAGAACGACTTTAACAAAGGACTTTTTTATTATTTACGTATATTTTTGAAAAAATTGATGAATCGCTTGAAAAACTACTAAACATAAAAGAAAAAAATTGTTTGACATACACAAAACACAGTTCTATAAATAATTTAAGGAAAATTTAGAACTGCTTAACCAAAGGGCTACTGAGTAGTTCCTGATATTATGGAACTTAAGAGCACAGTAGTTGAGAATGTTCATATTAGGTTTTTAGGAATGCAGACAGAACTTTATAATATACTGTCCAACAAACAGCAAACATGAAAATTCATATTAAAAAGGACTCTTACAGACTGATTGCTTATTGAAACAATGATAAGAAAAGTTTCACAATTATTTTATCATACTCTACAGTGATACTTAAATCTCTGCAATGAAGTAATAAATCCATTTTTAAAAAAAACTTACAAATTTGCAGGATTAGTATCCCCAGGTATTGCATCCAAAAACAATTCAACACCATTCATAATCCTAAAATGATATACGAGAATAATGTAAATACATTATAAGTAAGCATAAAGTTTCGATTGTAAATGTTCAGTCATTCAGAGAGTAGTCAGTCACTAACAATGATATTATATGATATGTGTTATATATTGTGAATCGCCTGAACTATAATGTGGACAATTGAAATTTTCATTTAATAATATGGCAGTAACAAATATGTTTTATAACTGTTTTTTTAAAATAAAGATACAATTTCTTGATATACATTATTTATTACAACACATACTATCGACTATCTTCAACTACTTAGAATGAACACACTCTAGATGCGATATTAACTCATTTAAACTAGTGAACAGATTGATCAGCATTAAGGACTAGATAAACATAACATTATTTACCACTAAATGATCAATCAGTTTAAATACTTTGATCCAACTGAAGGTATATCATTCGCAACTCATGGTAACGTTTTTACTACTATAAAAGTGAATCAATCAGAGAGTATCAAATTCTCTGAAAATCACAGGTACAACTAAAATGACGAATTTCAACTAGTAGAAAAAATTAGTTTGAGTACAACTTCTTGTTAATTACCCAACATTACACATAATAAATATCATAATAAAATGCATAGGATAAAAAAAAGGAGAAAAACTAGAGAGAACACTTGAAACATACTTAAATTCAGATTTATTACTACTACTATTATTTAATTCAATTGTAAGAAGTGAATTAAAACCTGATTTTTCATCACCAATAGTATAAGCCATTAAAATTGTTCTTGATTTATTATTATTATTCTTTAAAATGGTTTGTGAAGATTTCATTTCACCAGATTCTTCAGAACAATTAATAGTTGTAAAATGAATTCCAAAACTTATTAAATTTGATGATCTAAAAACGAAAGAAAGTATCATATCATGAAGAGTAAAATTTACAAAAAGGTTGAACATTAACACAATTGGATGCCGACTCAGTGGTATAGTTGGTTAACCGCCTAGAGCGAGACTGATAGGTCCTGGGTTCGAATTTCGCCGGATCGTGGATGCGCACTGCTGAGGTGTCCCATACTAGGACGAGACGGCCGACTGGTGCTTCCAGGTTTTCCATGGTGGTCTAGCTCCAATTGACTCATGACTGCAATCAAAAACTTAACAATCTCCACAACACCTAAACTGATAATTACAAAAAATCTAATATTAAATTGGGTTAGAAAATTCTTAAATATTTAGAATAACACATGTAAGTCAATAATACTGTTTTCAATTAGATTTTCATCAAGCTTTACTTTAATATACATGAATATTTATACGAAAATGTTAAACTAATCAAAGTAATTTGAGTCAATAATCATAATGAAATAGAATAGATCGAGTGATCTATTATAAACCATTATCATTTCCTAACAAAGTTCGTTCCCGTCTCTTACATATAGCTGAAGTCACAGGAATTCGTATAGTTAACCCCAATTTATGACTTCTCTATCCATTCCATGGCCAGTTATAACTTAACAAACGACTTTTTATTTTATTTTGTTATCATTAACCTTATTTTCACATCCATTATTTGTTTGTAACTTTCCGCCTCTTTCCGTCTGTATTTTTCACTATCTAATTAGTTACACACATATTATTAAGTAGTGGTATTAATGTTTTGTGATGACTATTCAAAGTTTATTTACCCATGTTTGACCTTCTATTTCCAACGTTTAACTATTGATAAGACTTTTGTCATCGTATTTTATTATTCTCACTACTATCAGTAAACCTATCTTCCTACTATCAACATGTATTTTTACCTATTATGTGTGGTGACTTATTCTATTTCATTGTGATTGTTGACCCATATTGCCTTGATTGGCTTAACATTTTCGTATAATCAGAATGCGTTTTGTGGAGATTTTTAGAAATTTCACAGGTTGAAATCATGTGTCAATTGAAGCTAGACCACCATGGAAAACCTGGAAGCACTGGACAACTGTTTCGTCCTAGTATGGGGCTCCTCCGCTATCATCATGACCACCAAAGTTGGTGTTAGATCTATCGAAGCGTCCAAGTCACCCTCAAAACAACGATTTGTCTACAATAGCGGTTCTTTATTGAATAATACAAAATAATTAGTTACAAACCTCAACTTGTGAGGTGTCTGAAGCATTTAAACGCATCCTTTTGTGTGAAATAGAAAAGGCTTCCTGTAACGGTAACATAAAGAATAATTACAACATACGATAGTACAAAGGGCAGCTGAAGGCCGTGTCTACATTTGGTAACAGTTTATCAACAACTGAAACCCGAATCAAGAGCAAAAACAATATGGAAACTGTTGCGTTTAAACGAATGCACATGACTGTAGATAACTGCTACAGTGATTAAGCTAAAGTAACTATTATGATAAATACAATACTAAGTACAATAAACGTTATAAGTAAATGTAAATATTTCAGAATATTACACAACTTGAATTACAACATAAGTCTAAACATTGCCTGAAGTGAAACTGCTTACTGAATGCAAATAAGTAGTATAAAACAATGTACAAAAGAGTGGAAGAGAAGCGAATAAGAACAATGTAAAACAAACCTAATAGTTGGTCACAATTTCATTGTAGAGGAATAATTAAAGGGAACTATTTCCTACACAATGTGCCAGTTGATAATTAGCACTACTGAACAGATGAGTCGAAATGTAAATCATAATATATTCATATCTGAATTGATGAGATTTAAAATGTTTATTAGTTAGAAACACAAGTGACAGAATTCATTAACTAGTGTTTTTTTTCTATACACTTCTTGACTAACTTAAATCGGAGATTTTTGAATGTTCCTCATTGTGAAGATAGCTTAGTTAAGAGCTGAAAAATTCCATAGCTTTTTAATCCTTCCTAGTTTTTAATAGCTTGTCAATTTAAATTTAATTCATGACCGAAATTATTTTACAAATGGATTCATATAGATGATTCTGAAATACGTGATGCAGTCGGAATAAGGAGGGATTGCAAGAATGATGTCATTAGATGATGATAAAACCAATATTGTTTAGGAAAGTGTTGCTTCTTTGTTTTCTTTTGGATGGATAAGTTTAGGTTGAAACGTTTAATGAGTATAGTTTCGGGAAATTTGAGAAGAATGTAATTCGACAATCGATTGATCCTGAAAGATCTCACTCTATCGACCTAATGGTCTGTGTCACAAAGGTGTTCAACAATAGTTCGATGATTCCTTGTCTGATAATCCAGAATCTATCAGGATGAGGATTTGTGAAGATTGCAGAGGAGTCCCATACTAGGGCGAAAAGGCCACCCAGTACATCCAGGCTTCCAAAAGTGGTCTAGCTTGAGTCGACCTATGAATTCATCTCTTAAAATATGCAGAATCTCTCACATATTATATTCATGTGCAGCACTCTATATATATCTTCAATCTCATTGCTCACCCGTGATGATAAATATCCAAGTTACCGTGATAAGCATTTAAACTTTATGTTAATTTAATAAAAAGATGGAAAAAAACTCAATGAATAAAAATTGTGATACCTCTATTGTTGAACGGGTACTTTTATAGAAACTAAGACATCATAAAATAATTCAACATATTTGTAAGTAATTGCCAGTATTTAAAAAAATGACATTTTAAAGTGTACTCAGTGGATTAGTACAATTGAATAGGCTATGCAGCACACAACATACATTAAAGAGATTACTTACTCTCCTGTTAATAAGATTTGCCGAGTTTGACAACTGATTTCTAGACAACCACGAGTGGTATTTATATTCTGGCAAAAATTAAACAAGAAGAAAACGAGATCAAATGAACTTAGTGTGAATTATTAAACAAATTCCGATTCAAATACAAAAGAAACAGAAACTGACTATTTCGTAGAAAGTAAATGAGGACGCCTCGGATCGGTTTCAAAACTTGCTGAACAGGAAATGAATTGTTAAACACGAATTGTCAATCACCTTGACAGTAGTTTCCATGTTATGTTGTCATTTATGAATTGAAATTATTAATTCAAAAGTATTAGTTGTTTCATACAAATACAACCGTCCAAAGAAATCTCATACAATTTATGATAACATTTGAATTATGGCTGAACATATATACATCATTAGAGATGTGTTATTAACAAATCTAACATGTATTTTAGTTTTTGGTTGACGTAAACTATCATTAGGTATTGTACCATCGTCGGAATTACACTCATTCGAAAGCGACCGCTATTTAATTTATCCCTTCCGAACAACTTACCATCAAATACAGATCAGAGAGATCCAGAACACTTATTTAAAGTAACGTGCTTGTTGTGTCTTGTTATTAGGGTTTAATACGACTTACGATGTTACGGATTTAGGGACGAAAACGATTGAGCTACACTAATACGATTGGTTCTCATCGGAACTCATAACAGTCAATCATACTCAACACATCAAACCTCAACGGCTAAGACAGGAACAAGACGGAATTACAGGTAACTTGATATTGTGGTAGAACAAGCAACTGAAACGAAATTGGTACAAAAGTTGTTACTATAGTGGCAGAATATGACCTTCAAGCATGTAGCAATTTGGCGAACTAAAAAAATATGACAACCAATCAGACGGCAAAGGTCATGGGGAAAATCAAACTGGTAAAAAATGTGCGAGCAGTTATCGTTCCTGAAGAGATTTTAGGCTTTATAATAAAATTCGACTATTCTTGCGACCGCCTTAGCAGTGCTATACACTTTAAGTTTGAAAATAATAATAGTTTTATTCAAAACTACATGGTCGGTACACTAGGGAATTTCCAAAATAACATATTTGAACGACTTATTCATTTACATTGTAAATACAATGTATACAGTGACAACTGCAAATCTATGCAATCATCGTCACTATTACAGTAGCTAATCTGAACATACTAATATCACTCATACCAATAGTCAATGATTTTATGAACTAATACCGTGTCCTGATTTGATTGCCTTTTCCAACCTTTTCCTGTGTCAACTGACATTGCAAATCTTGGTTGGAGGATGTGGTAATGAGGAATAAATGTCCACGCTACCTAAGATAAAAAAATACCCACACTAATCGATTTGTCGTCTTTGGCTATCACTCTACGTCTAAACCAAAGATTGCTAACTTAGTGATGACAGTATACGGCAGAAATACCCCTGAGAAACGTACGATTCAACAGTAATAATCACAGAAAGTTCCCTACTTCCAAAGATTAAGTTTCACAGTTATGAAGTAAAACCATACAGATTACTTCTTAGTATCGTCGCCTCTTTGTTGAGAGACGGACGTTTGTCGTGCATTACAGGTGATTAACGTTGGCAAAAATCAACTCAGATTTCTGAATCCGTGCTCAGATTTCATCAGTCACCGACTCACCAGGGTTCATGAAACTTCCAAAATAAGTGTGACCCAACTACTTCACGTGCATCATCAGTGTGAACATTAACGTGGTAGAAGACATGACTTTTGAATACCAACTATTTCTATGGCAAGTACTTATCAAATGAAAAATATAACACGTAGATAAACAAAATAGACAAGAAATTCATCATATTTACCGATGGCAATTTAATTAAATTCCTTATTTCACAATCCATTTTCTTTTGAATTAAATCAGCCAAAGTAGTACGAGAACAATAATGGTACAAACCATCTGTTTAAGAATATCATTTAGAAAAACATAACAAAGAAATTTCATTTGAGTATACAAAAAACCAATAATGCATTTACATATGAAGTTACATTCAACAAAAGATGTAAATATGATGGATACAATAATAATAACAGTCCTATTGCTACAGACGACTTTACACACATTTAGTATGACTAATACCATTGAATGAGTTCACCTGTGTCAGGTGTTATAAATTCGAATTTCTTTTAATGAAAGCTCGATAGGGTCACTTCACCATAAAGTAGGCTTGTTATTAGTTCACGATATGTTGATCAGACCACTGACCTCTTTACCCTATAACCTGATGACCATAGTCCTTAACGAATATCGGTACACATAGTTTCTTCTAGCCACAGTGTCCAAGCAGAATACAAAGAAAAGAAAATTTAACTTTTACTAAGGTACTGGTTGTTTAGATGCCAAGACTAACAGGACGAAAAGATGAATTATATGACCCTGACGTACCTTAAATAATAAAATCACAATGTATACATATGTGACATGTCACATATATTTGTCATACGTGATACACAATCTGAGCAATAAGTCTACAATTAATTAACAATGATTAAAGTGAGGTAAAGTATATAGCAACAGTTACTGGATGGAAATGAAAGGTCGCAGTAAATATGATATAAAATTATTACAACCGAAGTCTTGAAACGGCACACTTCTGAAGAGTCCTATACTAAAACGAAACGGCTGTCCAATGCCTCCAGATAGTTAATGGTTGTTTAACTTTGATTGATTCATAATTTGAATGCATATCAACCAAGAAAAGTTGTTACATAATAATGATAATAAATCACGGATTAAAAACAGGTAAAAACATAAATGAAAATATAGACCTCAATGAAATCACAGATAAAGTCATTGGTTGTCATTACTTGAGTAAATCCACACTAAGAGTCAAGTTTTATATGGAATTAAACTATTTTATTATTAACATTCTACCAGATATGCTCAATTTGTTTGGAATTATTAAGTCTAAACTTGGTGATCGTACTTGTAATAAAAGCATACAGTATAATTACACTTTTCTCACATATTATTTGCCTGTACTTTGTATTAGGCAGTGGGTAAAATTTTGAAGATTAGGTAACTCGTACACGAGGCTGAAGGTCATAGGTTGAATTCTTAGTTGTGAAGTTGTGGATGTACACTGTTGAGGAGTCCTATACTAAGAGGAAACGGCCAACTAGTGCTTCTACCTTTTTCAGTAGTTGTTTCAATTAGATTGGTTCGTAATTTCAATAAAATTTAATTATCTCTACAGCCCAATAATGACAATTACTATTAGTCTATATGTATTTTTTTATTAAAAAAAATGAATAATTGTGTCTTGATGGCACTTCTTTACATCGTTCTAATTGTATTTTTCTAATCGTTTATTGTTTTAACGGTATGTTTTGCTGTTCAAAGACTTACGTCAATCAGCTAGAAATCTAAACTTTGGCTTGAAAATGTTCTCTTTATATACCTAGAATAATATGACACATGTAATACACCGTTATGATTTTCATTTAAACTGTATCACATAATTGATGAGCCTAAAACAAAACACAAGTGGTTGACATTATGAACAAGGCTTTTATGTTCACTAAGTGTGTTGTATCTAGCATTTTCGTCTATTTCCCGGTTTATTTATTAGAAAGTAATTTTCACTGAAGATTTCATTTCAAGATATCACGTTTGCTAAATTTTTGTTTTTCAAATGAGATCTTAAGTTGCGTCATACTAGACATGTTCTTAACAAACAGTTATGGACAATTCCAGGCCTAGTATACATATGTTTCTTTGATATTCTCACCGCAGATTGAGGGGGCTGATTAATCAATCATGTAACCATTACATAGTAACAAAGTCAGTGGATTAGTTGTTCATGGTATCTACAAGAGTATAACAATTTGAGATAAATTGTGGAAAATACCTGGTAAAAGTGTTTCATCACTTTGATCGATAATTTCTTCAAGCGCCTTTCGTAAACTTGCACGTTCTTTATCATTTTTTAGAGAAGATTGTGCAACAACTTCTAAAGGTTTATACACTTCACCAGATCGAATATACTATGAGTTGAATGAACAAACGAACGAAGAAGTATAATAAATTCCACATGAACAATATATCAAATTCGTTAGTTTGTAAAAAGGTGTAAGCGTGATAATAAAATTATTGAATATACTTTAAGACACACATCTCCCAATTATTTCAATGACATGCAATTAATATTACTTGAAAATGTATTTCTCATACCAAAAGTTTCTTACGGTTTTGAATTATTTCTTATCTTTATGAGTTACGAACAACGAAACTAAGCCTGATATTTTTCTATTGCATCACAATTGGTCATTCTAACCAGTGATAATTAAGGTAGGAATGATACGATCATAAATCATTTAATCTATTTATGAACTAATTGTCAATATCCTTCAGCTCTAGTTGTATTGTTCTCATTGCATTAAATGTTCACTAGGGAATTTAATCGAACTGTTAGCTTATTTGAGCTGAATTTAGCTATTGAAATATACACGTTAGGTGGTTAGATGTATTCAAAAGGAAATCCTGCTTGACTTAAGTTTTGTGCTAATCGATATTCATTCACGAGTGTCAAACATTACGAAACCGAGGTCTAGGATATCCTGAAGAATACATTCAACCATAAAACATAAAAACACAGTGTATACAACGTTGAGCCACTAATACTAATGTCTACATCAAAACCTGATTGATAGAATCCAGAAAGCTCCAAGGAAAGGCAAGCAAGACATTGGATGATGCACATTGGTTAGTCATTGTATACTACTGTACAATATTTGGTGCATATCTTGGTATGGAATGAACGGTTGTGGATTCATATATTTCTCATAGTTCGAATGACATTCGCATTTATACTTCATCTTATGAACAGCCTTTATTACATATATTCATTGTGAGAGATTCTAATTAGGTGAAATATCTATATAATGTGTCTGGGTTCTGGAGTTCAAGCGAAATACTTTTAATGCTTTTTATCTTATCGTTTTGTAACCATACACAATAAATAATTGTCGCATTACATCATGAAATCATTTTAGAAGTTAAAAAAAATCATCTGAAGTGTCTAAGCATAAGACCGAAATATTAAAGTTCATAACAATTGTGTTTTTCAAATGGTTTACAGTTTTCTAAATGAATTCAACTTTTTAATGTCTAAATGTTATTATTTTGCAATAATCAAACTAACTAGATTGTACGCAGTTGAATTTTATAGATAACATTCTCATCGTCTGACTTTTCAGCTGATCTTCTACCAGAAAATTCGCTTGTTGACTTAGAATACACAGATGATATGATTCTGCTTAATGAAATGTTAACAGATTCCAAAGTCTTCTGACAGCCTTAAGAAACAATGCAACCAGGTTTAGGATTCTACTCTTTCCTTCAAATGCAAAATCTTACTTCAGGGTTGGCGGGCGTCAGAAGATGAGTTATTGATAGGGAATGAAGTAGTTGGGACCACGGAGTAGGCAATGTCTAGGTTAGGAATAGGGTATTAGACAAGTATAACAAATGGATTGATGAGGTAGTAAATTTCACCAACTAATGTGGTTAGGAGTTTTGTTGCCTATGCCCGTCCACTGCCCACCACGACGAGCGATTTTTTCTGGTGCACGAGTACACTGAAGAAAATAGGAGAAGCCAAACCAAAACATGTCATCAGTCTATGAAGACATAGACAATTAGACTTTGGCATGTTAATCGGTGTAGACCACCTGATTGGTGTTGACATGATTATCGTAACTAATAGTTAGAGACTTTGAATGACGTCTCAAAATCGTTTGTGGTGGCGCAGATGCATCCGTTCTTTTTCTTCTCACAAATTCTGACAATCTAAATTCCTCATAACTTTTTTGTTTTTATTTTGCTAACATATTTTCTTCTGGAATCATATCTTCGATGCTTAATCTTTCATTTTACCAGTGGTACTGTCACTATCTCTAATATTCTGGGATTTCATCTGACAGTATGGCGAATTGAACCGATGTGTTTACGTACCAAATTTTGTGTTGTGACTGACTTACTGCATGTATATATGAAGTTGGATCAAGAAAACGGAACAAAAACTTTTGACAAATGCACTGTGATTTTTGTGGAACCATGTCATTCTAGTTCTTAAAGGTAATACAATGCAAAAATTATTAAATTGTTCATGTAACTAGATAACGATAATTTATTAATGACAGGCTTTCAGTTACTCAATTATTCGATTCTTTCGAGAATGAACCAGATATGATCAGTTCAACATTTTATGAACACAAGTAGAAATCGGTCAGTAAGTGAAATAAAAAATAGAGTGATTTTTAAGATATACGATAAGGTGACATACTTAGTGTATTTGGAAAATTCTATTTCCAATTCTTGTCCAATCACAGACTGCACACATCAAAAGGGGACCATTAATCACACGGAATGAACTTACATTTATAGAATTAATCATAATTATATTGTGTAAACTGTTAGGAAAAAAATCAAAATGTACATTAAAAAGCAACACTTACTTGTTCAACTAAATCAACCTGATAATTTTGTAATTCACCTTGAACAAATACAGGTTGTAATGATTCGGTAATAAAATTTATGACAAGTTCACGTTCAGTAAGATTCACCTACATAAAATCATATATAGATATATATATATTGATTCAAATGTACTTAATAAAATGTTGGTAAAGAGTAATTTTGGAAAAAAATGTAGAAAATTTGAAGATAAATTTTTAGCAGTGTTGCATTCGCTGAGATTGACAGATACATATGAAGCATACACTGTAATTATAGATAATATCACCAGAGTCTTCTTAAAGTGGAAGTGAGGTTTTGTGGGTATTTGCACAATGACAAACATTCTCATCGTTATTATTTACCCATAACGATCGCATATTTATTAAGTATTAGCTGGTAACCATAAAAATTATTATTATTATTATTATTATTATTATTATTATTATTATTATTACGACCATTCGTTACTATGAATTAAGTCACAGTAAGAAATTGTTAGCATCATTGGTGAAAGATTGAAATAAAATAGCTTATGTATAAACTGTAATTACCTAAATGTTATATTTTAAAAATGGTACATTTTTCCCATTCGTCTTCAAAAATGAAAGTTTTCTATTAACTTAGGGGCTAACACAATTTATTTCATCCATCAGATAAACGAATAAGAATAAATACTTCTCAGGGTGACAGAAAAGAGAAGAATATGCCAACATTTTCAGTGTTTCCATTTGGAGTCTCCAGTATAACATCGGGTGAGTACACGCAGTTAGGATAAATAATTATTCGGTTAAAAAGACAATGAAATACAAGGTTTATTTCAATACTTGCAAATTACGAAAATAAGTGAATTAAACATAAGAGCAAATTGTTGTATGTACTAATGAGGTGTGTGCTACTTACATCGACTTTAGTATGTAACGCTAGACAGCAATAGAATGTCTCGTAACAGAAGATTGAGAAGATCGAGGAGGAAAACAAGGCAACAGAAGGCAGTTCGTATGGAAATGTAGGAACGATCAATTATGAGAAAATTTATACATATTTTGCAAAAAAAGTATTGGGTACAACGTCTATCAAAAGTGTAGCATGTTTCATCATCGCAGGCAGGTACTGGTTACTACTCACCGTCTTTAGAAACGACCCCATCACAACCATCGACTGCAGTTACTAGTACTGACTGTAATGGCGGTTCTGTGTATCAATGGCGTTCAATTAGTTGCAACTGCTTGCAATGTAACACGTATTGGGTCAGGTCGCCTTACATGCCTGTCCAGTATGCACTTTGTCGTACTAAATATGTCCTTCATGCGAAACAGGTATGAGCTATCTAGTGGCACTCATGAATCACCTAACGCCGCCAGTTCTTCGGGATCACAGTCGCCCAATTTCATCATCGTTCTGCCAGATCGGGGCTCCATATACGTTCACTCTCAGTCTTTCCCTTTGCATAAGCAACATTATCACCCCCTTATCCATTGCTCGTTTGTCGACGTCTGCTCCCTCTTTTATCAGTTTGATTACCTCTTGAAGTTTAGGGTCAGCTTTCTGCTGCCGAACATGCTCTAGTGGGTCTCCCTTTATACTATTCACTGCGTATGCTGTCAATGGGAGCGCGGCTTCCGTGTCTGGTCTTGACAAGTAACCCACCATTACGTTTTCCTTTCCTGGAACATGGCCTTTACTGAAGTCGTACTCCTGCAGACGTATCATCCATCGCGCCAACTTTCCACGGTTGTCTCTTGCTGTTTTCAGCCACTACAGGCTTATGGTCAGTCTCGATGTGGAATCGCTACCTGCGACTTGTCCCTATTAGTTCGAACTCCAACTTTTTCAATTTGCTTTAAGACCGCTTGACGTGATCTGTTTCTGTATGGCTGTACATATTTTGTGTCGATTTTAGAGAACTGAATAACATAACATAACTGAAACCTTGCGTAATACCAAGAGTAGCGGAAACATTAGATCAGCTGCAGAATGCTATAGTGTTTACAGTGCCAGATTCGCGGTCAGGTTATTGGCAACTGCCTATAAAAGAGAGCGATCGAAACAAGACAGCATTTACTGTACGTGATAAGCAGTATCAATTTAGACGAATGCCGTTTGGGTTGGCGGCTGCACCGTTTACGTTCAGAAGATTAATGACGTTACTGCTCAGGGATCTAGATAACGTCGAGACGATGTACGTGTGTACAGCCATACAGAAACAGATCACGTCAAGCGGTCTTAAAGCAAATTGAAAAAGTTGGAGTTCGAACTAATAGGACAAGTCGCAGGTAGCGATTCCACATCGAGACTGACCATAAGCCTGTAGTGGCTGAAAACAGCAAGAGACAACCGTGGAAAGTTGGCGCGATGGATGATACGTCTGCAGGAGTACGACTTCAGTAAAGGCCATGTTCCAGGAAAGGAAAACGTAATGGTGGGTTACTTGTCAAGACCAGACACGGAAGCCGCGCTCCCATTGACAGCATACGCAGTGAATAGTATAAAGGGAGACCCACTAGAGCATGTTCGGCAGCAGAAAGCTGACTCTAAACTTCAAGAGGTAATCAAAGTGATAAAAGAGGGAGCAGACGTCGACAAACGAGCAATGGACAAGGGGGTGATAATGTCGCTTATGCAAAGGGAAAGACTGAGAGTGAACGTATATGGAGCTCCGATCTGGCAGAACGATGATGAAATTGGGCGACTGTGATCCCGAAGAACTGGCGGCGTTAGGTGATTCATGAGTGCCACTAGATAGCTCATACCTGTTTCGCATGAAGGACATATTTAGTACGACAAAGTGCATACTGGACAGGCATGTAAGGCGACCTGACCCAATACGTGTTACATTGCAAGCAGTTGCAACTAATTGAACGCCATTGATACACAGAACCGCCATTACAGTCAGTACTAGTAACTGCAGTCGATGGTTGTGATGGGGTCGTTTCTAAAGACGGTGAGTAGTAACCAGTACCTGCCTGCGATGATGAAACATGCTACACTTTTGATAGACGTTGTACCCAATACTTTTTTTGCAAAATATGTATAAATTTTCTCATAATTGATCGTTCCTACATTTCCATACGAACTGCCTTCTGTTGCCTTGTTTTCCTCCTCGATCTTCTCAATCTTCTGTTACGAGACATTCTATTGCTGTCTAGCGTTACATACTAAAGTCGATGTAAGTAGCACACACCTCATTAGTACATACAACAATTTGCTCTTATGTTTAATTCACTTATTTTCGTAATTTGCAAGTATTGAAATAAACCTTGTATTTCATTGTCTTTTTAACCGAATAATTATTTATCCTAACTGCGTGTACTCACCCGATGTTATACTGGAGACTCCAAATGGAAACACTGAAAATGTTGGCATATTCTTCTCTTTTCTGTCACCCTGAGAAGTATTTATTCTTATTCGTTTATCTGATGGATGAAATAAATTGTGTTAGCCCCTAAGTTAATAGAAAACTTTCATTTTTGAAGACGAATGGGAAAAATGTACCATTTTTAAAATATAACATTTAGGTAATTACAGTTTATACATAAGCTATTTTATTTCAATCTTTCACCAATGATGCTAACAATTTCTTACTGTGACTTAATTCATAGTAACGAATGGTCCGGAGAGGAGGCGAGCAGAAGCGCGTAAACGACGGTCGATTGCAGTGATTGTTTAAGGAGCATTGTGAGTGCGAGTCACGAATAGCACTAAAAGGGCAGTGGTACGATGATTGGAAAGACTTCGAGAACAGCCTATTAAAAGGGGGGACGAGTGTGGTGTGTGCTTTTTTATTGACATTAGGATACAGTGTATGACAGCAATAGAATGTCTCGTATCAGAAGATTGAGAAGATCGAGGGAAGCAAGGGAACAGTAGGCAGTTCGTATGGAAATGCAGGAACAATGAATTCTGAGACAATTAATGAACATTTTGCAAATGAAATATTGGATTATAGTTTTTCTATTTTATCAAGTAAATCTTTAATTTTGTGATAATTATAATCGGTTGTCCTCACCTATGTTCTCCTTCACTACACTACGATTGACAAACGCTGAAGTGGTGTCTAAGTGGTTAAAGGATTTAATTTGGGACAAATGTTGTGAATTAAAACCAAACATCACTTAATTTGTTTTGAGCAGTCTTGCAATGTCACTGACCACAGGATCCTGAAGGAACAAATGGCTAATGAACTAATCGTTGGTCACCGGCTACCATGGGACTACATCTCCTGACGTTGCTCCATTGCCTTGCGGATCAGACCTTTAGGTCGAAGGCGCCGGGTGTGGTCCCCTAAGAAAACCTGCTTCGGTTTGGGCACCCGGGAAGTATTCCAGCGCTCACACAAATCAAATGACTTATGTGGCACATATCTATTTGGTCCTTGTACTAATGTTTATGTATTTAAATAATAAAACATACTACTTATGTCTGTCAGCAAAAGTAGTATACACCACAATATGTACAAAAGTGATGCATACTTACATTGGAGACAACGTAAATAGTACATAAGCATACGCTTACAAAGAATTCGACCGAATATCAGTTGGACGGTATATGTAAACTTAGACCAAACGATACAGTGTAAAAGCAACATAATATTCCACTGTCAACTATTTAATGATAGCATAGTGGTTTCTTATATTACCGATGATAGGATGAACATGAAAACAAGCGTAATATGTTGAGAAATGAAATAATCAGAGTTCCTTTAATTTCTAGATGAATCAAATGGTTAGAAAATGTTGACATGTCCTAAAATGCATGAATCCCAGAAGAATGCATAGTTTGTATTACTTACTCGTGGAAAATCATTAGGTAGAAGACGTCCAGACTGTTCGAGTATAGCTGAAATAAGTAGTAAAATGTAAGGGATATGAATTGACATACTTTTCTTCAGTACATAGATGTTACATAATTCAACAATTTTATTTAGAAAATGACTTGTACTTTGTGTTACAATCAATGAAAAAAACCACATATTTAAACATCATATTGGTTTAAAACTCCAAACAACTAGAATTATTTATAGTATACATTTGGAAAAACGAAATCATAAACCTGTGGACGAAAATAGTCCACCAACTTGGTCGTCCAGTAACATTAACTGGTTAAATAATAGCCGTAAATAATTATTCGAGGCCACTTTTGTTCACATTTCACCACAATTCGCAGAAAATTAAAATCGCTAATATGCATGCAATCACGTTATATAAGTGTGTAAATGGCATGCGTTAAAGTGAAAGAATACATTACAATATGTCACACTAATAGTACTAGTATGAATAAATTTCAGAACAGAATATTCACAGTTCTGAATAAAATGAAATATATCGTAGATAATTTTAGCTAAACTACCATTAAGGACGAGCAAATCTAATAATGAAAGCTAATATGTTGAGAAACTAAGATGGATAGTGGCTAGCAGGGGAATCCATTTGAGACTCGTCAGCCGGATATACCTGCATCCCAAAGTCGATTATCACTCCGTGACTCGAACCTAGTACTGTTCGCTTCAAACACCATCGCTTGTGACTAAAAGCAATATCGACGCAATCCGCACAGGATGCGCATGTGCTCACAAGAGACTGATCAATTGCAGTCACAAACAAAAGGGGGGAGATCTAAGCAAACAACAAGTGAATTCGTTGAGAAACTGTTTAAAATTCCGAAATTAAATAGAGCTTAAAAGCTAGTGAATTGAATAGATTGAGGAATGTAATTAGAATGGTAAAAATTAAATACTTCATACATTTACCTTAATTTAGATAACCGGTTATGTCGCTATTCTTCACATGAAGTGTGATTTAAAGCTGAGACAACATGAACGTGCCATTTGGTGAGTTAAATATGTCAGTTTAATCACACACAACGAGTTACACTGATTCTGTCCAAAGAAACACGAAAATGGGAATCTCATGGATCCAGGATTATCAAAGTATCCTTCACAACAAAGAAAGAGGGGATTCCGATTAATGTTATCCAGTGTTATGCACCCACCAATGATAATAATGAACACGATGAAGATCAGTTCTATAAGAGGCTGTAGTCGATCACAGAGAAGTGCTCAGGAAAGGACCTGACCATCTGATGAGAGACCTAAACGCCATCGAGTATTAAGATATCATGGGACGACATAGACTGACTGGGAGAAAGGAACGAGTATGCTGAGAGATTTTCAAATTTATGTGCATTCAAAAAATGATTATGGGTGGCACTCTATTGATCCATAAACGCATAAACAAAGCCTTAAAGGTTTCACTGGACTACACTACACAATATCATATCGATTACATTTGCATCAGTAAAATGTTCAGGTCAATCGAAAACACAGCTTCGAATCACCACCAGGTTGTGGGTACCAAGAAGAAACTGAAACTAAAGAAAGAATGGACAACTGAACAAACAGCATCACAAAGATACAATGATACTGACAAACTCAATCAATTCAACTTAACTCCCAACAACTGGTTCCAAGACGTATAAGTTCCGCTCAAGGAAGAAAAACTACTATGGCGTACAACTGGAAATGGATCAAAGATGCACTAACTTCAAATTGTCAGGAGGTTCTGGACCATAACAAGCACCATCATAAGGAATGGGTCTCTATTGAAACCTGGACAAGATTCAAGAACGGAAGAACAATAAGACAGCCCAACAAGATCGCAAAAATCACGGAACAAGCTGAATACACAGAGGCGAACAAGCAAGTGTAGAGCAGCATTAGAGCCAACAATCAGAAATATGTGTAACAAATAGCAATGAAAGCGGGAAAGGCCGCAAAAGAAGGAAATATGAGACAGACATATGACACAACGAAAAAACTAGCAGGAAATATAGTAAACCAGAGACCCGTCAAGGACAAACAAGTCAAGCCCATCACTGCGATTGGCACAGCAAGGGCAGTATTCTTACAGTTCAAGAACATATGTAACTCAAAACAACTGTCAACGAATATCAAAGTCAGAATCTTCATTACGAACGTCAAGAAAGTTCTATTATACGGAGCTGAAACTTGGAGAACTACTACAACCATCATCAAAAAGTACGAATATTTATAGATAATCGTCTATGCAAGATACTCAATGTCCGTTGACCGGATACCACCGGATACAACCTACTGTGGGAGAGAACAAACCAGCTTTTATTGAAGAATAAATCAGAGAAAGACTATGGAGGTAGATAGGACATACATTATGGGAATCATCAAACTGTATTACGAAGCATGCGCTAACTTGGAGTCCTGAAGGGTAAACGAAAAGGGGAAGACGAAGGAACACATTGCGTTGGGGATTGAAAGCAGACATCAATAGAATGAATAACAACTGGAAAGAATTTCCGAGGATAGAGTTGGATGGAGAATGATTGTGGGTGACCTATGCTCTTCTACGACGGGGAACAGGCGTAAGTAAGTAAGAACACTTGGTTTGGGTTTGTGCATTAACCACGATCGGCGGTTAGAGACATTGGATGACAGCTCAGAATCGATCACGATGGAGCAAATTGATCTATTCTTTATCATCCTCTACAGATTGAGTTCAAGTACATTTTCAAATATACCTTTCCACTCTGTATTTTCGAACTGTATTCCAAATGCTGAGTTTTCCTAATTATCGTCTAGCTAAACATTCTAAATAAATGTATCATGAACTATTTATGACCTCAATTGGAATACGCATTCTATAATTCAAACATGAGATGATAGCCGATTATTACTTACTTACGCCTGTTACTCCCAATGGAGCATAGGCTGCCGACCAGCATTCTCCAACCCACTCTGTCCTGAGCCTTCTTTTCTAATTCCATCCAATTCTTGTTCATTCTTCTCATGTCTATCTCCATTTCCCAGCGTAATGTGTTCTTTGGTCTTCCTCTTCTCCTTTGGCATTGAGGATTCCATGTGAGGGCATGCCTTGTGACACAGTTGGGTGCTTTCCTCAATGTTTGTCCTATCCATTTCCAGCACTTCTTCCTGATTTCTTCCTCCACTGGGATCTGGTTTGTTCTCTCCCACAATGGGTTGTTGCTGATAGTGTCTGGTCAACGGATCCGAAGTATTTTGTGTAGACAGCCGTTAATAAACACTTGTATCTTCTAGATGACGGCTTTTGTAGTTCTCCAAGTTTCCGCCTCATACAGTAGAACTGCCTTGATATTTTTATTGAAAATTCTGACCTTGGTGTTGGTTGACAGACAGTTGTTTTGAGTCCTAGATGATCTTCAGTTGTAGATATGCTGCTCTCGCTTTGCCGATCCGCGCCTTCACATCTGTATCAGATCCACCGTCCTCATCAATGGTGCTGCCTAGATATGTAAAGGTTTTTACATCCTCCAAAGCTTTTCCATTAAGTGTGATTTGATTAGTGCGTGTTGGGTTGTGTCGGAGAATCTTGCTTTTCCGTTTTTGTATGTTGAGATGTACTGCTGCTTAGACTGCTGCTCCACTGGTCGTCTTCTCATGTATTTGTTATTGTGTGTGCGATAGAAGAGCCAGATCATCTGCGAAGTCTAGGTCGGCCAGGTGTATCCTATCTGTCCACTGTATCCCACTCTTCCCCTAACATGTTGACGTTTTCATGATCCAGTCGACCACCAGAAGAAAGAGAAAGGGTAAGAGTAAGCAACCTTGTCTGACACCTGTCTTTACTTCGCACGAGTCTGTAAGCTGTCTTGCGTGCACGACTTTGTAGTTTAATCCATCATAAGAATTACGTATGATGTTGACTATCTTCTGAGGCACGTCGTAGTGTCGAAGAGGCCTCCATAGTATTGTCCTGTCCATGTTATCAAATGCTTTCTCGGAGTCAATGAATTTGATGTAGAGTGATGAGTTCTATTTAATCGATTGTTCCATAATGATCCGTATGGTTGCAATGCGGTCTGTACACGATCGATCATTCCGGATTCCAGCTTGTTGATCTCAGTGTTGGGCGTCCAGGGAGTCCTTCATTCTGTTTAGCAATACCCTGTTGAAGACTTTTCCTAGTATTGAGAAAAGAGTGATGCCTCTGTAGTTCTCACAGATGCTGAGATCGCCTTTCTTTGGTATCTTGATGAGGTGTCCTTTCCAATCTTTCTGAAGAGAATATGGAGTATCTTTGCAGTTACTTCTACGTCTGCTTTCGGTGCATCTGCTGGGATGTCTGTTCCCGTTGCTCTTCCACTCTTCATTTGTCTGATGGCCATGCTGATCTCTCCAATTGTTGGTGGGCCGACATTGATTGGGAGGTCCGTGGGTGCTACTTCGATGTTGGGTGGGTTCAGTGGGCTGGTCGATTCAAGAGTTTTCTGAAGTGTTCTACCCACCTGTTTCGTTGTTTTGAATGTTGCCTTACTTGCTTTTTACCGGCCGTTCTGGTTTACGATAATTTCCAGCGAGTTTTTTATTGTGTCATACAGTCCCATGATCTCTTCATATCCGATGTTGTCCGTTCCAACCTTAGCATTTAGGTCTGCCCTCAGAATGGTCAAGTCCTTTGTTGGGCACTTCTCGACGATTGACTGCAGCATATCGTAGAATTGATTTTTAACGTCCTCACTGTAGACGCATAGCATTGTGTGACGTTCATTGTAATACCCCCTTTCTTTATACGAATATTCGTCAAGGTTAGAACGAATAGTTTGACAGAAATTTAGCGCCGAGTATAGAGAAGTCATTATATGTGAAATATTCTCAGCGATTGAAATTTAAATCCAAACAAGTTTGCTGGACGAAACGTTGGAATTATTTAACTTTCAATAGCTGAGAATATTTCTAATATAATTTTCACATATAATGACCCTCTTTCTTTGTTTCAAAGAGGCTTCGATGATCCTGTGTCCATGAGATTCCCATTCTATAAATGCTTTTTGTGCTTGTTTGGATATCATCAGGGCAACTCTCTGTATGTGGAGCGTTTTTTCTTCATGATTGGAGTATAACAGCAGCTCCCCTAAAGCTAGTCTTTGTTGTCCAACCTGCGTCGAATGTTCCACTGATTCCAAGCACCGCCAGGTTGTATCTCTTGATTTCTGCAGCAATTTAGGAAACTCTCCCGGTCTCCCACATTGTACGAACATCCCATGTACCTAAATTGATGGTTGCTCTGGTTGTCAGAAGGGGCATCGGCCTCGTGACTTCCGAAGGAACTCGGCTTTTATCATGAGGCGTCATAACTCTTCTATATGAAGACCTTCTGAAACCCAGGGCAGAATTTAAATGGTTTGAATAATTTTTTTCTGGTTAGCGTTTCTTTAGCGTGTTAGCTTTCTATGGGATGGGATCGCTAACCTCATGCCTAATCCTCCACCTTTATCCCGGCTTGGGACTGCCAGTAGCCCCCGCAGGGGCTCCAGGTGGATTAACTGCCTAAAATTATGAAAATCATAAGTTTAGTAGTCATATTTCTATTATATATTACCCTTAAGTGTCTCAATTAATTAGGTTCCAAGAAATAAAGCGCAATGATTAATTACAGACTTCTTTAGAAGACTGCAAACTATTTCAAAAATATGACCGTGAGATCGGTTTATTTTGAAATATTGAAAGTCGAATAACTAGATAAATAGTCCTAAAGATAAATAGCTTTAAAAGTCTAAATACTGAAATGTATGACTTTTTAAAGATAGCTTACCACCGTATAACCATTTAAAGAAAGCGCGTAACTGTGTAAGACTCTTCTCAATTACTCTAAAATATAAAGTGATTGGAAAACACTAAATAGGTTTAGTGAACAGTATACAATAACAAAACTAAACACATATTTAATATAAATGTCATGACTCAGCAACAATTCACAAGTTCATGAACTAGACGTTTTCAGAAAAACCAACTGACTAATGTCTAAATGTACTAACTGATAATCCCAATTCAAGAAAGTCTGATGAAAATTCTATTTCCAACACATTCGTTAAAAATTTGGAGGTTATTCAGAACTTGATTTCTGACAAAATTTAGTTTTTTTGAAGTTTTAGTGACTGGCCCTATATCAGGACCACATAGGTTTTTCTAGCTTCTGGAAAAATCAATTTATCTATTCTGCTAAAGCTATATTTTGACGTTGTCACTTATTCGCTTATTAACCCTGGCTGTTTTTACATGAATATATGTGCGTGTATTGCTTATCCTATTCATCACATGTCTGTGACATATTTTTGTCTAACTATAAATATCGAGTCACGCTTGATTAAGACGAGTTGGCTGACATTCCTTCCCCAATCTATTTCGCTTCTTTTTTCCTCTTTGCTTTCTTCGCTTCGTTTATCTGATCATTTGTCTGGATCAATGATGGTATGAAATACACGTATTCGAAATTCATTCTTGTATTTGAATTATTTAATTCTATTATTCACTAACGCGATCGATGAATAAATACGAAGTTAACTGGGATAGCAATCAGCAAACGATCTACCTAGAATCAGATCTCAGGCCACTAAAGATTTTTATTTCGATAGATGGACGAGATAACGGAATGGACCTTAAAAATGCGCAATTCAACTAAATACTTACTATGTACTAAAACTACTGAATTTTTGAACAGTTAATGAATACAATTGATAGAAAACAGATTTTTATAACATACAACTGTAATTCTTGAGTTTTTTGCAAAGTCATTCCAATCGTTCGTAAAAGGTTTAAAGCTGTAGATGCTGGAATTTGTAATTCATGATATAATTCTGTATCTCGTAAACAGCCCAGAACTTCAGATACATGGAATAGAAGACGCTGTAAGAAGCTATAAAGAAATAATTTGCAATAAATAAATGAAAATAAAAAACAACCAAGTAACAATAATCATTTCTAAGTCAAAAATACGTAAAATTATCTCCCTACTTTTCATTCGAATATTAAAATTATTGAAGCATTTTTAATCTAGCTGAAGGGGTTTTGTCTAGACCAGTTTAGATTTTAGTTTGTTATGGTCGGTCACAAGATCTTAACTCCATGAATTCAATTCATTTTATTCGATAGGTCGACTTAATCATAAATTAAAATCAGCTAAAGAACTATTGAAAACTAGAAAGTATCGGACAGTTTTTTCTGGGAGGCGGACATATTTTGTTCGCGCCACTTATCATTTATTTTTGAAACAAGAAACCACTACCATTTCCATGATGCGAAGCAAGAACACCAAGACCGGTACAAGTATTTGATGATCTGTAAGCAATATATAACGTCAATAATGGAGCATTCTGTGAAACATCTTGACTGCGAAAACTAAGGTGAGTCCTTCCTTCTTAATATGACTATAATTACGTTTTGCACGAGTGACTGTTTGTGAAGCACGACAAGTTGCCTTCATTGTACCATCGGAAAAGCATGTGAGATAATCACTTCGGTGCCATAATTTGAGGCGCCCACCACCACCACAATTTCTAATCTAGGGTTACAGTGGATTAATACTAAATTAAATGAGAATGTTTCATTTACTCTGTCAAACGATCGTTGTGATTCCTTTGATCATCGCCATTTAGCACCATCCAACAAGAGTCCATTCATGAGTGCCTCAGTTGATGCATATATGGGAAAAAAGCACTGCAGAAACTTATCACAAACAAGAACGATCGTAACTCGCCAACATTTCTTAGTACTGGCATTTTTACAATCACACTGACATTATCAGGATCGGCACTACGACCGTCTTTGTCGATCAGTACCCTAGATACCTAGTGGTTTGCATTGAGAAATTTCATTTATCATCACGTGGGCGGTAGCCAGGTTGTGTAAATTTTGACAGGATACTATCAAGTCTAAGGAACAGTTCCTCCAGAGTAGCTCCAGTACCAATGATGTAAACTAAGTAGCAGCAACCTCTGGTACTTCGTCTGTCATCATATCCACAAATTATCGGAATATCGCTGGAAATGTCTTCACACCGAAAGGAAATTGGCAGTACTGATAAAGCCCGACGTGAGTAATGACATTCAAAAAGTGTTTCGAAGATTTATGCACATCAAGTTGGAGAAACGCGTCTGCTAAATGCAATTTTGTAAAATAATTCACAGTATTTAGTTTTGTGAAAATATATTTTGGTATTCCAGTCAGTCAGTCAGTCAGTAACAACGTAGAACTTCGTACGTACGCACATCAGTTCGAGTTGCCACACCACATTAGCACAGAGATGCAGTTGTCGATTCAAATCCCGTAGTGGTAGAGGTAATAAGAGTATAATCAGTAATCGGGAAGATTAGGGTTTGGAGATGTTATTTAAAGAGTATAATCCAGTGAAATAAATTTGGAAAGAGGAAAAAAGGGACATGAAGAATTCAGAAGATTAGAATTTGGGAGAACACAGAGAGTGGATGCACCTGCGCCATTGCAAACGATTTTGAGCCATGTCATTCAGGGTCTCTAACCATCGGTTGCTATCATCTCGCGGTCCCCAACCAGGTAGTCTACACCTACCAACATGACTCAGTTCACTTGTCAGTGACTTCATGGACTTGTGCCATGTTTTGGTTTGGCCGCCCCTAGCTTTCTTCCAACCTACTCCTATACCACTGAACATAGCACGTCGAGGCAGTCGGTCGTTGGGCATACGTAACACGTGTCCCAGCCATCTCAACTGATGAAGTTTCACTACTTCATCAATTGATTTGCCATCCTTACCTAGTACCCGTTTCCTAACAACTATGTTACTTACTCGATGGTCCCAGGATATACGAGCAATACTTCGAAGACACCTATGATCAAATACTAGTAACCTACGAATATCCTCTACTCTTACCGGCCATGTTTCACTGCCATAAAGTAGGACGGAACGAACTGCTGCATAGTAAACCCGTCCTTTGGTTGATAGACGGATATCTCGCCTACGCCATAAATGACGCAAGTTGGCAAAAGCTAGTCGAGCCTTCTGTATCCGTGCTGAGATTTCGTCACACACCAGACCACAAGGGCTGATGAGACTTCCAAGATAAGTGAAGCGGTCGACACGCTCAACTACTTCACTCCCTATCACTAGTTCGGGTGTCGATGTAACCCAATCCTGCATTTCGAGGGAGAGAATCGCATCCCGAACATGCTTGCATTGTTGCTTAGAGTGGCCAGAAGACTCTGCATTTTGTCAGCGTCTTCACCAAATAAAACTATGTCATCAGCATATTCTAAGTCAACAAGTGAACCTCCTGGTAGAAGTTCAACCCCTGGAAATTTAGATGAGGAGAGTGTTATCTCTAAAAGTACGTCGACAAAGTTGAACAAGAATGGGAGAGTGGACAGCCCTGACGAACACCACTTGAGGTAATCAATTCTGATGACAGTTCGCCATAAGCTCTCACTCGACCAGTTGTGTTCGAGTAGAGAGCCTTTATAAGGTTAATGTACTTCTTTGGTACTCCTTTCAGTGACAAACACTGCCATAGAACCTCACGATCAACAGAGTCGAATGCCGCCTTAAGGTCGAGAAATACTACCATTGTGGGGCGTCTGAATGTGTGTCTGTGTTCTAGAACCTGACGTAGTGTGAATATCTGATCTATACAACCACGTCCAGGTCGAAAACCAGCCTGGTTTTCTCTAGTCTGCTCTTCACGAGCTTTGATTAGGCGTCGAAGTATTATTGAAGCTAATATTTTAGACACTATATTAGTCAAACTGATTCCTCTGTGATTGTCACAAGAGGACTTTTGTCCTTTCTTATAGACTGGCACAATCAGTGATTGAGACCAGTCAGATGGGATTACGTCCAGTTCCCAAATTCTACCTAAGACCTCAGTTAATCTCATTGCTAATACTGGACCACCATCCTTAAAAATCTCAGGAGTAAACCTGTCAGGGCCTGCTGCTCTCCCTCGTTTCAGATTTCCTATGGCTTTTTCAACTTCGTAAAGGGACGGAGGACCTACATTAACTTGCCATTCAGGTTGACTGGAGATCGTGGGAAACCGAAGTGTGGCTGAAGGCCAGTTGAACTGATCCCTAAAGTGTTCTGCCCATCGATCCAATCTCCTGGATTGAGAATGAATAATATGTCCATCTTTCTCTGAGATTGTTTCGCTAACGGTCGGGTTCCTAATTCCGGTTTCCTTAACGAGTCTGAACAATTGTCTGCTATTACCTATTGCCGCTGCCTTTTCCATCTCTCTTGCTTTCGCTACCCACCACTGTTCGCGATCATTGCGTAGACTTCTTGTCAGCTTGCGCTTAAGCTGACTCCGCTCTTCATTATGTTCAGAGCCAGGTGGAATGAGTTTCCGAGCATCTATCAGTGCGATAGATGCTGCTGAGATCCAGTGTTGCTCCCTAACCTTCTGGTTTACCTTACTAGCAGATATCACTGCTGTTTCCACAGCTTTTCGGATATCATTCCATGCTGCATCGGGGTGGGCATCACATACATGGCTGCCTAACTGTTTTCCTAGTTGTTCCTGAAATATACTCTTAGCTTGACTATCATTAAGTAGGCCCTAAGAGGTTTCCTTGCAGCGTCTTTCCTACGTCCAGTAAGACGCAAGCAAATACGCGCTCGCACTAGAGCATGATCTGAATCTAGGCATGTGCTCCAGAATGAGCGACAGTCTTCTATCGAGCCCCTCCATCGGTGGCTGATAGCGATGTGATCTATTTGGGTCCAACGTTGGGACGAATTAGGGGGTCGCCATGTTAAAAGATGTTTTTCCTTATGCTTAAAGTTAGTATTTGCAAGGAACAGGCGGTTATCTGAGCATAGCTGCAACAGACGGTCGCCATTATCTGTTCTTTGAGCCACGACACCATAAGATCCACCTAGGTGTCTTTCCCTATCGCTTAGTTTACCTACTTGAGCATTAAAGTCACCGGCCACTATTACTACATCCGAGCGCTTAGCTTTTCGGAGAAGGTCCGAAAGCTTTCTGTAAAACTCATCTTTTACATCATCTGAGCTGCAGTCAGTGGGAGAATAGGCAGAGACGACGAAGAGGCAACGACGAGTGTCCCTATCTTTCCGGATTCTTACTGTTCCGTTCAGTCGGACAGCGCACAAACGACTGTCTACTGGGATCCACTCTAAGAGAGCTAGTTCTGCCCTAGGACTCAATGCTATACCTACGCCGGCGAGGCCACGGGAAGCAGAATCAGGGCTTCCAGATACACGAAGTGTAAATCGAGTCGGTTCTTTATTTTGGCATGGTGAGGTCAAATGAATGACGCTACTCGGATCCTGTATGCGCATTTCGGAGACACAGCACACATCGATGGCGCGAGATTCCAAAGTCCTAGCTAAGGAAGCCTGTTGTCCTATTTGGCACAGTGTTCGGATGTTCAAAGTTCCTACGTGTAGTTTAGAGCGTGGTTTCAGGAGACCAGGAATAACGTTTCGCGTACTCGAATCGTTTGCACTAGCGGTGAGAAGTGATAAAGAGACGTGAGGAGGGTTAGTCATGGAGATAAGAGAGGTATTAGGAGGTGTAGGAAGGATTTGAATGTGACTAACTTGGTCTCGTGTGCTGTTACAGGTATGAGGGGTGATATCACTTCCCAGCTGCCCACACTGTGGAAGGGATTAGTGTTGGTCTTAACAACCTGGGAGCGTGACCGCAGAGCCCAATGGACAACTGCTTGAGACCGGTCGCGCACGGCCTTTTCGTGGGTTTTTTAAAATGTGTTAGCTCCGTTCTTCAAAGGGCCTTACCGCCGGAGACGGAAATCCGTGAGGTAAGGTGAGGTGTGACATATTTAGGGTCAACCTTTTCTAACCCTTCCTTCCTTGTGAGAAGGCAGCATCGCTGCAGACGCTTACTGCTGTCACACCCC